TTGACCTTTTACACTTATTTAAGTACTTTTGCTTTCGTAAGATTTATAATGCAGGACTTTTACTTGTAATTAAGTATTTTGACAATAATGTGTTGGTACTTTTGCTCAAGGAAAGCATCTGAATACTTCTTTCACCGCCGGTTAAAGCTTTGCTGCTCATACAGCATTTTAAATTGTACAAATACTACATTTAGTATTACAGTGTTAAATTGTAGTATTGAAACCTAACCATGTGGGCCAGTTCATGAGCGATGATGGTAACAATCCTCTCCTTGTTGGAGTTGGAGGAGAAAGACTCATCGTAGAGCAGAGCCGTCTCTCTGTAGGTGATCAGACCCCAGTTCTCCATGGCTCCAGCATTGAAGTCTGGTAGAGCTATCTGATCTGCATTGGAAAATAAATGATTTGTGGTCCATTACATGTGGAGTTACTATTTTTTTATAAGTTGACAAAGTCGTTTCTAACTGCACTTTAGTTAAAATATGTAATCTGGAGAGAGGGTGGCCTAGAAAGAGAAATTAAAACAATTTAACAAAACCAGGGTTGGACAGGTTGAGCGGGCCAATGAAGAGGTGATGATGGATTACAACTCTCATGAAACACTCTATAACAATTAAAGTTAATAATTGATTATGTTGTGATCTTCTCAGATGCCGGTCCCAAAGCCATGTCATAAACACAGACAGCACACACATCCCCGTGATGAACAGATAAGTGTTCCATCAATAGACAAGAGGAGAGATGAAGGACGAGCATGTTTTATATGGGTTCAGAACGACTGACACAGCTGTTTCAATTAAGGTGGAGGTCAATGTCTAACACTAAAAAGAGATATTTTTGGGGTTGATCATAAAAGCACACAGGATGGCAGTAAACATGATGGCAAGACCTATCACGAAGGGGAGTGAAACAGCTGTTTAATGTAGCTGTATTGTACGTACTTATTACATGTTGAGCAAAAAAAAGGGAAGTACTTATGCAACAAGAATACATTTAACAAAGATACATGCCAAAAGGAGGATATTGAAATGAAGCATTGCCTCAGAACATCATGTGTGGTGGACTCACCAGACTTTGGTAGAGGGTATTTGGAACTGTAATAGCCCTCAAAGAATTTAAGGATGGGTCCAGTCTTGTTGAGGGCGTACTGTCCTTGCCCAGCATCAATAGCAGGCTTTCTGGCAAAGATGCGGATCTAAACAAAAAGCACATCTTATCTTAAACATTAAATAAGACACATAAAACAATTTTTTATATCTATCTATCTATCTATCTATCTCTATCTGTCTGTCTGTCTGTCTGTCTGTCTGTCTGTCTGTCTGTCTGTCTCTCTCTCTCTCTCTCTCTCTGTTCCTATGTCTGTCTGTCTGTCTGTCTGTCTGTATGTCTCTCTGTCTGTATGTCTGTCTGTCTGTCTGTCTGTCTGTCTGTCTGTCTGTCTGTCTGTCTGTCTGTCTGTCTCTCTCTCTCTCTCTGTCCCTCTGTCTGCCTGTCTGTCTGTCTGTCTGTCTGTATGTCTCTCTCTCTCTCTCTCTCTCTCTCTCTGTCTATCTCTCTATCTCTCTCTCTCTCTGTCTGTCTGTCTGTCTCTCTCTCTGTCTATCTCTCTATATCTATCTATCTCTGTGTGTGTGTGTGTGTCTGTCTGTGTGTCTGTCTGTGTGTCTGTCTGTGTGTCTCTCTGTCTGTCTCTCTGTCTGTATGTCTGTCTGTTTGCCTGTCTGTCTGTCTGTCTGTCTGTCTGTCTGTCTGTCTGTCTGCCTGCCTGTCTCTCTCTCTCTCTATCTCTCTCTCTTTCTCTCTGTCTTTCTCTCTATATGTATCTATCTATATCTCTCTCTGTCTGTCTCTCTGTCTGTCTGTCTGTCTGCCTGCCTGTCTCTCTCTCTCTCTATCTAACATATAACATACCTCTTCTCCCAAGCCTTCAACTTACCCTACCCCCCAACCCACTGACTTCACTCACACCCCACGCTGTATCTCTTATTCACCCCACGCTGCATCTCTTATTCATACATTCATCAACTTTTTCTTTCCTCTTTTCCATTATGTTGTCTTTTGCTCGTTGTCCTATGCTTGCTCCCCCCCTGTGTTGTCCTTTGCCTGTTCATGTAATGTTCATGTT